AAGGCGGCGGCCGGTCAGTGTCTGTGCTGGTGATAGAATGACAAAACAGTCCTTCTAGGCCTAAATTCAAATCTCTTTTGTGAAAGTCACCCACAAAGAGTACCCCCCCCCCCCCCCCCCCCACTTCATTCTTTGTCAACAGTATTTTCTCTTCAATTTTGATTTTTTTTAAACTTGTTTTCACTGCCTCCGTCACTAAATCAGAGGTCAATTCATGATGTCTTTTCATTCTCTATTTTGTATACTTAATATAATGTGTATGTACATGAGACAACAATATTTTTTTGTTTTACGGCACTAGTGGCTCGTTTTATGGACAGTAGGCTGACAGGAAAGTGGGTGAGACATGCAGGAAAAGAACACAGGTCAGATTCGAACCCAGGTTGCCCTCGTCAAGGACTAAGGCCTTCATACATGGGTTGAGTGCACTAACCATTGTGCCACCAAGGCACACCCCATAAGACAGCAGTATTAAAGCATTTATGGATATGATGCTATGATCAGCAACATCAGAATATTAGGGTCGACAGACACTGATTTTGGTGATCACTGATAGGCTCCCAAAGTCCTTATCGGTGCAAGTCAAACAAAATAATATTATTAGAATAAATACAAAAAGGTTTAAAAAACAAAAACAATCAGACTACATTCCTTATGGTTGAAGATGTTCCACTCGTCTGAACAGCTTTGCCAGTGTAGAGCTACTGAGGGAGAACTTTCAAGGGTTAATCTGTTGGGGAAGAGCCATTCTGCTGATTTGATTCCACATGCTGTTTCTCCCTTACTAACTCTGAGCTGGAAAAAGTTCTTCTGACAAAGAGCAACCAGAAAAGCTTAAGTCTACTTGCTTTGTTTTTCTAAACATTTATTTAGTTTGTCTTGCCCTGTACTGAAAGACTGTGAACATTGACCAATGATTATCTGGACTACAACTTTATTTTACTCTAAAAAGGATAAAGTTTAACTAATCATGTCTCTAAAACCTCAAACTTAGTGTATGATCAACAGTTGTTTTTTTCTTTTCTTAAAAGAGTCATACAACATGGCTGCACGGTGGCGCAGTTTGCAGCAAGAAGGTTGTGGGTTCAATTCCATTTCATTTGTGCATGTCCTCCCCGTGCATGAGTGGGTTTTCTCCAGGTAGTCCAGCTTCCTCCCACAGTCCAAAAACAGACTATTGGGTTAATTGGCATGGTTAACTTGTCCTTAGGTGTGTGTGTGTGTGTGTGTGTGTGTGTGTGTGTGTGTGTGTGTGTGTGTGTGTGTGTGTGTGTGTGTGTGTGTGTGTGTGTGTGTGTGTGTGTGTGCGTGTGTGCGTGCGTGCATGCGTGTGTTTGTGTCTTATTTATACTTTGAAACTGGTTGTCTGCGTCAGTGTTGCAGTGAGACGTCCCCGCCCCCTCCGGAGACACTCTGCTGCACCTCTCCCAAACTGTAGGTGACCACAGACAGTACCACAGACAGGGGGCCTCTGATTGGTCAAATCTACATCCGCTCTACTAATGAGTATTTCCTGTGATACCTTACCGGCATGTTTTGTTTGCAGGAATGCCCTTTAGGGACCCTTTTTCCACCTGGATCCCCGCTCTTTTTCACACTCATGTCCCTCCAATGTTGGACAAACTTGCCCCATCGTCCTCAACGCCTCGGTCATATCTAGACCCATAGTTTGTGATTTTCCCCTCTTGCGTTGTGGCGTGGAATAACATAGCGCAGACCACGCTTTAAAATTGAGAATAAATCAAAAATGTCTGCCTCATACCTGCGACAACCTCACAGCAACGCACTGCTGGGGAGTGTAACCAGCACTATAGACAGGCGTAGATAGGCAGGAGAAGATGGGTGTGTGGATTGATATAACTTGCTATATAGCACTGGTATGTGGTAGGGGCTTAAACGGATGACATTCTGTCTACAAAAAAACAGCTTCTTGGTGTAACAAGGTTTTATGAAAGAGTAGGAGGAAGTGAAAAACTAGCAGATTGACAAAACAGCAAATCCTCTTCTTAAAAGTTGCTGTGACTATGCATAATCTGATTGGTTTCATAAGTAAGCCCTTGAAAATGATGCATGAAACACCGAAAAATTGCCCAATGAAAAAAAGAAATAAATAAGCACCTGGTGTCCTTCTATATAAAATGCATGCACGGTTTTTCTCTGAATACTTTCAATGCACTCTGTCTTCCTCCTATAGTCCAAAAACACAACTGTTTGGTTAATTGGTGTTTCCAAATTTCCCCTTGGTTTGAGTTGCTTGCTCCTGTATGTCCCTTTGTTGTTTGTGATTGGCCCAGGACCTATCTAGGGTGTACCTGACCACCCTCTCTTGACCCAGATGGACAAGAGGATATAGGAGAGGAATGGATAGATACAAAATAAAAATAAAAATTCATCTCAGATGTATGTTTGCAAATTACCAAGTACTTTTCTTTGATCATTATTAAAAAAGTTAGGACTGGAATAAATGTGTATGTTAATTATTCATGCAGCTGCAAAGACAGCAGTTCACATTCTTTCATATCCTACTTTATACTAAAAAAATAACAACAGTATTATAGTGTTTAAGAATACATCAAGGTTATTTGTTTATAAAGACAGAGTGTGATTTATGTGAAAAATAAACCACACTGTTCCAACACTTTAAGGATCACCTCTGATAGACACAGACATGTGTCTTCCTCAATCCCAATGTGTCTATGGTGATGACAATGAATGTAACAGATGCAGCCACTGAAACTGCACTCCAGTCACAGGCAGAACTCATGTCAATGCAGCACATGCCACCTCGCTGCAATGTGTATACACCTGACCTGGAACAAAGTGGACAACACAACCCAAACCGAGCCCGCCCCAAGACAGAAATCTCACCGTGAGCCACACTTCTCAAAACATTGATGAGACAGGCTGACACTACAGCAGAGCCAGGCAGAGGTGTGGGTGTGACAGCCCACTACCATAATTTCCTCCTGCCATTACCTGCCCAGCCACTCACAATTGTGCTCCCAGAGACAGATGCGCATGAGCACAGGTGCACAAGCCTCCACAGGAACCAAGCGTATGTACAGCACACCAAAACACACAGGACTCTGTTAAAGCTAGAGACAGCTTCTTGCTTCTCGTTTTGACTCATTGTCAGCTTGCCGGATGATTGTTGTCAATTGAGCTGACAGAAATAAGCGTATTAGCTACAACAAGCTCTGGCAATGTCTCCCTCTCGATTTGACTTAGGCAGCAAGAAGAAGTGCATAATGCTGAAGGCAGTCCACTGAGTTTCCCTAAGATGTGCATCTATTTACACCTGGTTTACTAGAGCTGACAGTGAATTGAAGTCACGGTGTCAATATGAGAACATCTCCACTGTCTGACGAGAGATGTCAGTTCAAATTGAAAGGAAAGAATTTTCAAAAATGACGCATTTGTTTGATGTGTCAATGTTTGCTTCCTTAACTAGCCCAAAAGTAATGTAGTACTTTCTATGCAGGATACATTTTGACAAATCTTTGCGTAAGGAACATATAAATATGTGTTATCATAGATGTAATCTATATAATCTGTAGAAATCATTAAGGAAAATTCTAAACGTTAACAGCCAGCAGACATTATGGTGTTCTTTCCTAGGCCTAAAAAGTTTTAAATTACATTGAAATGATTAAATACCTACTTCACAAATTGGCTCCCAAAATGAATTCATCTTGATATAAGATTTGCTTAAAGCTTCTATATTATATTTTTCTTTGCCTTCCAAAGTCAACTCTAGTCATATACAGTACATAATATTGCTATTGGCACAACAAAATATCAGTTAGTTAAAAAAATATTGGTTGCTTTCTGGTGCTACCTCTGCAACTTATAATAAAGATATGTTAATCTCCCCTTGTGAGTGCTGTCCTAGAGCACTTTGTAAAAAGCAAGAATGTTTTGAATAGAAAAATAAATGCATGGCACATTAAGCATTTGATTTAATTGTGGCTTTGTTTAAAATTATGAAATTGTGGCTTTTGTTAAAAATAAAAAAATGCACATGCACAGCCCTGTACTTGCTCCTGAGAGGGAATGCCTATTAAACGCGTGCAAGAGCATGCATGAGCCCATTTCTCCTCGTGCACGCTATGTTTAAAATTTGCTGTTTGCAACTTTCAAAAAGAAGATTTAAAATTTTTTCCACTATGTCAGACTCACCACTGGTAAGTGAAAATGGGGAGGAGCATGTAGGACGGCCTTATGTAAACATATCACCAGAGTGTTAACAATTAGGAGGACCACTTATTTGATGATACACCTGGAAAAAGGACATCCTCCACTATACCTTTAATGCAAAGTTCATGGTTGAATAGATGCATGGTGAGGCAGATGGACTTTACAGGTAGGAAATAAATAAATAACTTTTCTAGACCTGAATACTAACATTTTAACACTAATTAATGTAGGAAAGACGTTACATGCTGAACTTTTAAAAAGGATACCTTATCTAAACAGCCTGGTGAAGATGATGACAAACATGTAAACTACAAGCTCGCCTTAAAACTAACTGCACTCATTTAGTAAATGGTCCACAAGGAGCTCAGTTACACAAAAAGGAAAAACTTTGCATAGTTATTCCAAATTCCAAACAAGGACCCTATTTGCTTTTAGTTCACATATTTTTGACAGGTTTATGATGAGGGTTTTCTCCTCTTGTTTTTATTTTCTTCCAATACAAAGTATGAATATTTAAAGGTATCACAGAAGACTTGCAAACACATATTCAAACTAATTTAAATAATTTGTAAATAAGATATTGAGTTATTGTGTCCACAGATGCTTAATATGCTTAATAGAAAGATAATTCCAAAAAACAAGATACCTGAAACCATAACTTATTTTCTCCCATTTGAAAGTTTAGCAGTAAAGGTGAGAGAGGTGCTCCTATATTGATCATGTCTGTTTACATGCCACTGCAGATAAAAAAACAAAACTATTTCTCACCAACATCCATATTTTTTATGCTCAGTTTTTCTTACCTGAACTGGTTGAAACTCAGATCCAGTCGTCTTGCAAACGAGCCGTACGTCTCACCAAGAAAATTGGGGATGTCCTTAGAGTCATGTCCAATGTATGATATCTTTATGAGTGAAAAAGAAAAAACATACATACTATAAATACAGAGACCAATTTTCATCTTGATTACTTGACCAAACAAAAATATTTACATTTGAGACAAATTTTGTGTTTTTCAACAGGCACCATTTTAAACCTTAAGGTGCTGTGAGTTTTTATTTATTTATTTGTTTTATTCTGGTGCTAATAGATGCGATAGATGTAAAATGATACAATATTAACACTAAGATGAATAGAAGAAATCCTGATAACATCTGGAGATAGTTACATTGCAACAACCTGCTGCCAACAGGAATGACTGGTGTAAATAAAAGCAGCTATGTCTCACCTGTAATGACACTGTTACATTGTTATTAGGAGCATGTGCCTACTTTAATATATTAAGCAATACGGAATATCTTACGTTTTCTGACATAATAACGTGACGCACGTCCATTTGAGCTGAATAATGAACTGAAAACTGAAAGCCATGTGTGTAATGCCAGTGACTTTGTCACATGACTGCAGAGGCCAAACAGAGACAATTAATTTTTGTTTTTATAATAATTTCTATTTCAAAATTAAAGCATATTTTAGAAGAGGAGACGGTCTGACAGTTTAAGTGCAGAACTTACTTGAGTCCCATTTAAAACGACCGGTGACTCCCTCTGAGCCATCACGTCCTCCTCTGGAACTGGCACTTTGGAGTTTGTTTGTTTTTATGTTAAGCTTTTATTATTAACAGAAGGAATTATTTAAGAGGCTAAAGACAGAACTGGTGTTCTCGAGCACGTTGTCCACATCCAGTATTGATTTCTGTGAATGTCGCGCTGCTGTGGAGCTGCTCCTGTGGAGGTTTTCTGACGCTTTGAAACTAAACAGCCTTTCACTGTTTCCGCGTGCCGCTTGAATCAGCTGACCCGCAGTGTTGCGGAAGCACGCGCTCACCGCTCATTAACTCATTCAGCTCGGTGCTGCTGACTGTCTCCTGATGCCTGCACCGGATTTTTTTTCCACATAGAGAGAAAAATTGTGCTTACTGTCAGTTGAGCATCTCGCTCCATTTGTTGGACCTAAAAAATCACACCTGTTCTAATTACAAAATGATACATTTGTAAACCCTAAACCAAAGATAAACATATATGAAAGACCAAAATAAATGTTAGAAAGCAACCATAAAGAGCCAGTATTGGCCATTATATCAGAAAAAAGAGAAATATCTTGGTTGATGAGAGTAGCCTAATGCTTTTCTATATGTGTAATTCAAATATGCATTCAGAGGGTATGAAGGGATAAGGCATTACTTTTAACTTCTTATAAGTTTTGTTTTTTTTCAGGGCCAAATTAAGGAGGATCTTGGCCTCTTGGCGGGAGCCAGTTTTGGTCTCCTACCCAACTAAGTATGAGCAGAAACATTGTGCCATATGAAATGAATTATTGATTGCCCTGACTAATCCGGATTCATGTAAGTTGTGTGCTCCTCCACATAGCATCACCTATTATACCACCATCTATTATCTCACCATAGAAACAATTCTATATATGACAATTATCAACAATATTCAACAAAACTATCTATGTTTTCTTACCAAAAACATGCCAATAGTGCTCATGCGTTTCCACATAATATAACAATGTTTTATATGGGTAGAAGCTTGTGCCATTAGCTGTATTTAATTATCAGGAACTGATTTATAATTGCACAGAATAAATCTATACATGCAAAATTTGAAACTAAATCTATTGGTTTAAAGGCTGCTCAGTGGCGCAGTGGGTAGCACTGCTGCCTTGCATCATGGAGTTTGTATGTTCTCCCTGAGCATGCGTGGGTTCTCTCCAGGTACTCAGGCTTCCTCCCACACTCCAAAAACATGACTGTTAGGTTAATTGGCTTCTCTAAATTCTCCGTAGGTGTGAGTGTGTGTGTGAGTGGTTGTCTGTCCTGTTTGTCTCTGTGTTGCCCTGTAATGAACTGGCGACCTTTCCAGGGTGTACCCTGCCTCTCGCCCGTAGACAGCTGGAGATCGGCACCAGCACCCCTTGCGACCCCACTCAGGAAAAAGCGTGTCAGATAATGGATGGAAGGCAAATGAACCTGAATTAAAACTGTGTTTAATAATTTAAACATTTAATGATTTGAAACTGAACTAATTTGCTTTATAACTGTATTTCACTGGATTGTAAACTAAGTTTTACAAATGTCACTTTTTTCTACCGATAGGAATTACCTTTCATGGTGGAAAAATTAGCAAAGACAACAGGTTTTAAGAGGGTTTACTCAACATAATTAATCAACAACTGGGAGAACTAGGATTGATCATACTGTATAAGAGCAAGGATGAGTTCTAGCTGCTAAGAGCTGCTTGAATATGTTTTATTGTCTGTGTTTCTGCTTTCTGTTCTACAATTTGGTTTCAGTTCTAAAACTGTGTTTCTGTTTATAAGACAACAAGGTCCTTAATTCACAGAGTAACAGATTGGCATCACACATCAGGTTACATTTATTTTCATAAAATTTTAGGTTAAGGTACAGGAGCATAAACATGTCATTTTACCATATCAAAAATATTGATAGCGAAAAAATTTAACTCAGGGGGCACACTATGCTAATTTACTGTCTTTAGTTAATAGCTAAAGGGGTGAGGTGCTCACTGAATGTCTAAGAAAGTGGAAGCTGGAAATTGAGGTACTGGAGGAACCTTCCTGGGAGGAAAAACCCCTGCATGGGATGTACTACCGACAGATAGCTGAACTGGCTTCTTTCTAGGAATCTTGGCAAATGTATTAATCCTCAGAAACGCTATTAGCCCAGGGCGCAGACCAGGAAGCAGAGTTGTAGTCGAACCCAACCCTCTGCAGCTTCTCTACTGTTACCCACTCATTCCACCAAGACAGTGTCTTGCCCATGACCAAAATCAAATAAATCGGAAAAGAATCCTGAAGGAAAAAACCATGATAATCTAATTAAAGCTAAAATTACTCACTCCATGGAAAATGTTCAAATAATAAAACTTGGTCTATTTAATATTCAATTCAATTCAATTCAGTTTATTTATATAGCGCCAAATTCACAACACATGTCATCTCAAGGCACTTTACAGTTCAACCAGATCATACAGTCAAATTGATACAAAGTTTCCTATCCAAGGAAAACCAGTTGATTGCATTGACTCAAATACAATCCCCCACACTAAGCATGCTTGTAGCGACAGTGGAGAGGAAAAACTCCCTTTTAACAGGAAGAAACCTCCAGCAGAACCAGGCCCAGTGTGAGCGGCCATCTGCCGAGGCCGACTGGGGTTCAAGGAGACAGAAGCAGAGATACAAAAAGCAGCTGTAAAAGGCGGCCCCGTCCAGGAAACACACAGCCAGGCAGACGAGCTCCAAGGCAGCTCCCATGCCAGAGGACGAAGAGAGCACATCCACTCAGTCACGGCCAGAGAAACAGGACCACACTGGAAAACAGGCCGATCTACAACATCTATAAACAAGGGTGTTGATGGAAGCAGCACAGCTGATGTTTCTTTCCAGGATGACGTCACAGCCAAACAGGAACAGACGAGGCAAAGCTACTCTGAGGAAAAGCAGAGAGAGCAGAAGGTTAGAGATTGAACTAACAGATTCTGCAGAATAGGAGAACAGAGAGAGAATGAAGCAGAATGATGAAATGGGGGTCCCTATGTCCTCCAAAAGTCTAAGCCTATAGCAGCATAACTATAGAGATAGCTCAGGATAACCTGAGCCACCCTAACTATAAGCTTTATCAAAAAGGAAAGTTTTAAGCCTAGCCTTAAAAGTAGACAGGGTGTCTGCCTCACGGACTAAAACTGGTAGTTGGTTCCACAGGAGAGGAGCCTGATAACTAAAAGATCTGCCTCCTATTCTACTTTTAGAAATTCTAGGAACCACTAGTAAACCTGCAGATTGAGAGCGAAGTGCTCTGTTAGAAACATAAGGAACAATCAGATCTCTGATATAAGATGGAGCTTGGCCATTTAAGGCTTTATATGTGAGAAGGAGGATTTTAAATTCTATTCTTGATTTAACAGGAGGCCAATGAAGAGAAGCCAGGATAGGCGAGATATGATCTCTCTTTTTAATTTTCATTAGAACTCTGGCTGCAGCATTTTGGATCAGCTGAAGGCTTTTAACTACAGTTTGTGGACTTCCTGATAGTAAAGAATTACAATAGTCCAGCCTTGAATTAACAAATGCATGGACTAGTTTCTCAGCATCACCCCTGGACAGGAGATTTCAAATTTTTGCAATGTTCCTCAGATGAAAGAAGGAAATTCTAGAAACCTCTTTGATATGGGATTTAAATGACAGGTCCTGATCAAAAATAACACCAAGATTTTTTACTTTATTATCTGAAATCTGTTTAATCCCATCCAAATGAAGTGACTGGCTAATCAGTTTCTTTTTCAGAGACTCTGGTCCAAAGACTATAACTTCTGTTTTGTCTGCATTCAGAAGCAGAAAGTTAAGAGTCATCCAGGTTTTTATGTCTTCAAGACATGCCTGTAATCTATGTAATGGGTTAGCTTCATCTGGATTTATAGACAGATATAGCTGGGTATCATCAGCATAACAGTGGAAATTAATCCCATGCTGTCTAATAATTCTACCAATTGGGAGCATGTATAAAGTAAAGAGAATTGGTCCTAGCACTGATCCCTGTGGTACTCCACAGGTAACCTTTGAGCGTGTTGAAGATCTATCATTAACATGAACAAACTGAATTCGATCAGATAGATAAGATTTAAACCAGTCTAGTGCTGTTCCTTTAATTCCAACAAAATATTCAAGTCTTTCTAAAAGAATATTATGGTCAACTGTATCAAATGCAGCACTAAGATCCAACAGGACGAGCACAGATACAAGTCCATTATCTGAGGCCATGAGAATATCATTAGTGACTTTCACCAGAGCTGTTTCAGTGCTATGATGAGCTCTAAAGCCAGACTGAAACTCTTCAAAAAGTTCATTATGGTGGAAGTGATCGCAAACTTGTTTGGCAACTACTTTCTCAAGAATTTTGGATAAGAAAGGAAGATTGGATATAGGTCTATAATTGACCAAGTCATCTGGGTCAAGAGACGGTTTCTTAAGCAGAGGTTTAATTACAGCAACCTTAAAAGCTTTAGGTACATATCCCTGTAACAGAGATAGATTAATCACATCTAAAATGGAGGAGGAGATTAAAGGGAATACCTCCTTAAATAACCTGGTTGGAACTGGATCTAACATACAAGTTGAAGGCTTAGATGAAGACAATAATTTTGCTAATTCAGAGAGTTCAACTGGATCAAAGCAGTCTAAACCCGGTTCAGATTCCATGACTACCTCAGGTACAATCGCGGATAGAGGAGTGCTTATGATCTTATTTTTAATAAGATCAATCTTATTTATAAAGAATCCCATAAAATCATTGCTGCTAAGAGCAGGTGGAATGGACGGTTCAACAGAGCTATGGCTCTGGGTGAGTTTGGCAACTGTATTAAAAAGAAATCTAGGATTATTCTTATTCTCCTCTATTAATGAGGAGAAGTATGCTGCTCTTGCTTTACAAAGGGTCCTCTTATACAGCAGTAAACCATTTTTCCAGACTAGGAAGGAATCTCGCAGGCCTGTGGAGCGATATTTTCTCTCCAGTTTCCTAGCATTTTGCTTCAAAGTACGCAGCTCTGCATTAAACCAAGGAGCAAGCTTTCTATTTTTAACGGTTTTCATTTTCAAAGGAGCTGCGTTGTCTAAGGCAATACGCAGAGAACTAGCAACCCCATCAACAAAATCATCAACCTGTGAAGGGGAATAAGCTATGCTTTTGCACTCTGCAGCACTGCTCAGTGACACAGAGGAGAGAGAAAGTGAAGCAGATTCTTTAAAATTTATAACTGCACTATCTGA